TCTGCAAATACCTTTAGATGAAGAGTCAAAGAAGAAAACAGCTTTTATTTATCCAGATGGCATAGCAGAATTTCAAAGACTTTGTTTCGGGTTAGTAAATGCTCCATTTGAGTTTTCCAAATTGATATCGCTAGTATTGGGACCATTGAAAAATACGGTGGCAGTGTCGTATTTGGATGATATTCTCATAGGTGCTATGGACTGGACGGATATGTTAGAAAAGTTGAGGAAAGTATTTCATGCATTTTCAGAAGCAAAATTAACATTCAAGTTAAGTAAATGTGAATTTGGAAAGAAAAGCGTGATGTTTCTAGGTTTCCAGTTAACTTCAGATGGATTATTTCCAGGTCCTACGAAGCTGAGAGCTGTTGAGGAGTTTCCTGTTCCAAAAAACAAACACGAAGTCCGAAGATTCCTTGGACTGACAGGTTTTTTCCGGAGATTTGTTAAAAATTATGCAGCAATAACAAGATCAATATCAGATTTGACAAGAAGCAATGTGGATTTCATTTGGGAAGAAAAGCAACAGGAGGAGTTTTGTAGATTGAAGGACCTTCTGCAAAAAGCACCGGTTTTGCAATTATATAACCCAAAGGCAAGAACAGAACTCCACTGTGATGCATCATCGTTGGGTGTAGCAGGTTTGTTGTTACAAGAAGGAACAGATGGTAAGATGCATCTAGTATATTGTGTGTCGAAGAAAACAAATGATGCTGAAAAGTTGTATCATTCATCAAAACTTGAACTATTAGCAATTGTTTGGTGTTGTGAGAGATTGAGACCAATGATATTGGGTATAAAGTTCACAATTGTGAGTGATTGTCAAGCACTTGTGTTTTTGAATGCAAAGAAAACTATCATACCACAGATTGCACGCTGGTATACTACTTTGTCCGAGTATGATTTTGAGATTAAACATAGGGCTGGAGAGAAAATGGCGCATGTAGATAGTCTGAGCAGAGCACCTGTAGAAGAAGCGAATCATGAGGGAATGATTGAAGAGGTGTATGAAAGGAGATTGAATATGTATACTATTATTGCAGAAGATGATAGAATTTTGATGATTCAGAGAGGAGACGAGAGGTTGAAGAAACTGAGTGAAATCTTGAAAAAGGAGGAAAATGAAAGAAGTAGAGAAGAAAATAACTTGGTAAAAGACTATGAGATAAATGCAGGGAGAATTTATAAAAAAGTTAAAATCAATGGGAAATATAATTGGCTATATGTTATTCCAGATTCAATGAGAAAAGCGACAGTTGTGAAATACCATGATCAAATGGGTCACTGGTCATTGGATAGAACAGTGTCTGGCATACTGAGAAAGTTTTGGTTCAGGGGACTGAGGAGGTATGTAAGGAAACACATTCAAGGATGCTTTGAATGCCTTTTGGCTAAAGTTCCAGGAGGTAGAAAACCAGGTAAACTATGTAGTCCGAAGATGCCTGAGAGACCGATGATAAAAATTCATTTGGATCATTTGGGACCGTTTCCAAAAAGCAATGCAGGAAAAATGTATATATTAGTTGTAGTTGATGCATTTTCTAGGTTTGTTAAACTGTATCCTACAAGGAGTACAACTGCTAAAGAAACTGTAACACAAATTGAATTATTCATTAACAATTATGGTATCCCAAAAACTATTGTGAGTGATCAGGGAACGGCTTTCACAGGAGATGATTTCGAATCTTTTTGTAGAAAGCATAATATTGAACATAAACTTATTGCAGCTAGATTTCCACAGGCTAATGGTATGGCAGAAATAAGGATGAAATCTATTATTCCAGTGGTGGTAACTTCAATTGATTTCAAGGATGAAAAGTGGGACAAAACAATTTCTTCTGTTGAAAGAAAAATGAATTCCGCTGTGAATAAGACAACTGGAACAACACCGTTTGAATGTTTGTATGGATATCAGCCATCTTTCGAGGATGCAGCTATGGTTGAATCAGCGGAAAGGGAAAGAGATGTCCAGAAACATGACGAAGTAAGAAACGAAGCCAAAGAAAGAGTTGTGGTGATGCAGAAAAAGTCAAAAATCTACTATGATAAGAAAAGGTATGAAGGTGTTGATTATGAAATTGGAGATATTGTAGCAATAAAATCGAGTCCGAAGGCTACAGGAGAATCAACAAAAACTCAATTGAAATATTGTGGGCCATTCACAGTTATTGAAAAATTACCAGGACATACCTATAAACTTGAAAAATTAAATAAAGAAGATGGAGGACATTGTAAGGTGAGAACTGCACATATCTCACAAATGAAAATTTACAAAAATCACGATGAAGAAGATGGAACGGATGAAGAAGAAACAGAGGAAACAGATTTTTCCGGAATAGAAATTGACGAAAAATCGGGTATTACTGAAACTGTGTATTCTGGGAAGAGTGATGATGCTTCAGACAATGAAAGTTTGAGTGATGAAGAATGGGTTCCTAGTGATGATGATGAAGAATTAGCGGAAGAGGTAGCGGAAGAAGTCCATCAGAAGAGAGAAATGCCGAAGAGAAAAGTGAAGAAGCCAGCAAGATTTGACAACTATGTTTGAGGTCAAACATAATACAGGATGGCCGAATGTAGAAGATTTCCCGAGTCACCTTGTATTATTCTGACTGTTGAGATTATGTTTTTCGGGGAGGTTTCCAGGACGAGGGATAACAAGGTTTTGTTTTTGAACACGAGATAAGTTTTTGTAATTTGAATATTCGTTTTCTTACAATTAAAGCAAAGTAGAAAGTTTCTCGGTATAGTTCTTATTTCTTGAGACCCAAAAGCTATCCTGGGAGATATTGGCCGTGAATATTTCCAACACATCTTCATTCATTTCTGGGGATAAACACTAGATGTCTGACATTTGTTGTTTTTTAGGTTATATTGAGGACATTGGCGTATCATATGTAATTTCCACATGGAATTCCTGATTCAACCTACATATTATATCCAAATGATGATCAATACTTTTTGAGCTTTTGATTTTTCAACTCCAGCATAATCTTTGTGGGGCAGTGAGCAAATTTGTCTGAAAGTTTAATACGTTTTACCAAATGGGAGGCAGTACCTAACAATAAATGAATTTTGATTTCAGACTAAGCCTTATGGTTGAGAAATGGTGAAAAATGGTATGTAGGTATTCAGGCTAATATGCTCATATGTCATGTGTGCTGTATATATTCATGTTGAGAATCATTTTTGCAGTTTTTCACACTTAATATTTCCTGAATGTAGGTATAATTTCTGAATGGTAGGACATCCCAATCAGCACCAGACATCTTGAAGACGTACATTTTACGACTTACTTACGTCTATACGTCCAGGGACGTATAAAGTACGTCTTTAAGATGTAAATCCATGTACATCTTAAAGACGTACACGAATTTACGTCTTTAAGACGTACATTTTAGGTCGTATCCACGTCGTTCCTCCCATGTCGTATAAAAGACGTCTTAAAGACGTACATTCCAGTACGTCAATTCGACTTATAGAACAATAATGTAAGTTATTTTCTGAAGAAAAACAAAATGTCATCTCTTCACGTTTTTTATTTTCAATTGTTCAGTTTTTTCTCATTTTCAACAAAAGTGATGTTTTTGAATTTTTTCGTCCGACATTTTGGGGCCTTCGTGTTAGATTCTCGAATTTTTACAAAAAAATAATATTCTCCGACCCCAAAAGTCCCATAGTAATCAATTTTGAATAAAATCGGACTATAATCAGAAAACTCGTCCGCCATTTTGAAGCCGACATCTTGGATTTTTCATTTTCGACAAAAGGAATTATAATCTCTGATCCCGAAATCCTTCAGATGCCAATTTTGAATCAGATCAGATCATAATCAGAAAACCATATGCCACATCGTCCGCCATATTGGATCCGCCATTCTGTTTTTTCCATTCAATAATAATATCACAACGAAGTGTCACCGGAATAATATTTTCTTGCCAAATTTCAAATCAATCGGACGATTTGAAGTGAGTCAAATTTCACTTGCACGTTTTGATTACAAACAGACACAATGACATGTTAAACTAAGTAAAAGTTTTTTATGTGATATATAGAACAAACAGAGTAACAGAAGAAGTGAATATGGTATAATCATCGAAGTCAAGCAACAAACAGCGCGGTTAGTACTTGAATGGGTGACCGCTTGTGTCTACCGTTTGATGAAGTCGTTTATTTCCCTTTTTTTTTGCTTGTCTGCACTTGTTGCTAACTTCAGTGCACAGGTGAAAATCAACTGAAACTATGTGATTTTTCCGTAATTTGAAAGATCAATTTGAGGTCATGGACCAAAAACACCTAAAAAAGACGTCTTAAAGACGTACATATTAGTGGAAAATGTACGTTTTAAAGACGTCTTAAAGACGTCTCTTGGGCGTAATATGTACGTCTTTAAGACGTACTTATGTCCCGACATGTACGTCTTAAAGACGCCTTTAAGACGTACTTTGGCTGATTGGGATATGCCTATTCTTTTACTCCTCCGTTTCAATCAAAACTGTTTCTACTAAAATGCATTCAAAAACTTGTGGAGTGGATAATTATAGGCACAATGAGAAAGTCTAATATGTGATTTCGTATTAGTTTCACCTCGAATACTTTGCTGATGTATTTACCAATTTTCCCCATTCGGTCACTTCACTTTCCATGTTCTAAATTCATTCGCATTTGATGGAAAGCTGACAAATTCAAATTTGCCATCCAACTGATTGATACAGCCTAACGCAGCACATTTTACCATCCTTCCAAAACATAATTGAATAATGTCGTATTAAGATCAAGTATGAAATTGAAATTTTGTAAGATCTCTTTTAACGCCTATGAATGTGACGTGGCAGCAATGTCATGTCAGGGACGCCAATACACGAAACCAAAGTCACTAGATGATTGAAAGAGAAAGGAGCTATATGATCTGTCCGTACCCTGTTAGATGACAAATACGTCAGTTTGCATCAAGGGACCCTAGTGATGACTATTTCGGAAGTTTCATATGACTATTCCAGGTCGAGCTCTTCTCTCCCAAAGGAAACGACCTCATCGACAAATACTCCCTACCAGTCGGCATAAGAATCCTTTCGTGGACCAACTCCTCTCTTCTGATCAACGGCCGACCGATCTACCTTCACGGCTTCGGTAAACACGAGGACTCTGACTTCAGGGGCAAAGGTTTCGACCTGCCGGTCATCATCAGGGACTACAACCTGATCAGATGGGTCGGCGCGAACGCGTACAGAACGTCTCATTATCCGTATGCTGAAGAGACTATGGATCTGGCAGACGAGATGGGGGTCATGATTATCGACGAGTGTCCTGCTGTCAATATTGAGTGAGTGTTCATTTGTAGAAACTTCACAAACGATAAGATTTCCACAGAATTCTTGAACACACAACATGTTTCGCAAACATAGTTGCTTCATCAAGAGAAATACTGGTACAATGAACTAAACCTTCTTGATGTTCTAAAATTGTTCTATTTGTCATTCGGTTGCCCCCTTACGAGCAACCCTCAGAAGTCTTCGAGAGTCTTGTTCGAGCAAGAAATGACGAGGGCCTTACCTTTTAACGTGTGATCCCAAACACTTTCTTGGGCCATCAGAAAAATGTCTGCAGTCGCGGGGAATTGAACCCACGACCGGCAAGCGAATGCAGATTAAAATACTGACACTCTGTCCGCACGGATACCTGATGGCCCCCATGTGAATGTCTTAGTTCATTTTTAAAGAAGTTTTGTGAGTAGGTCCCTATATTTCAATATACAGGGTGTTTAAGTTTTTTGTGGCAGGACTTCAACCAACAGCTTGAAGAAGACATTTTTTCAAGACGAAAGTCTCATACAAACATATATGCGTGGGAGCTTCGTTTCCGATTCACAGGGTGTCAAAATTTCAGATTTTTTTATGTTTTTTGAATTTTCTCCTACAATTTTCGGAATAATTGATTGAAATTTTGTACGCCTGATACACTTCAAAAATTCAATATTTGAGACTATTGAACATTTCTGAATACCTACAGGGTGATAGACTTTCAGGGGTCGTACCCAATTTAACCCTGTAGAACTTTTTTGCGTGCCGTCTCTGCTCTCAATGGGACATAGATTCAGATTGTCCTTTCAATTTGGAAACTTTTTGCTCCCATGTAAATTCTTCGAAAACTGTATGGATCTCGAGATAAATGCCAAAAATGAATTACTTGTAATAAAACCGTTATTTCTCAAACACACTTATTTGACATTTCTTAAATATCTTATTGGAAAATTGAATGACCGAAAGCTTCCATACCAATGAAATTCAGTTGCAAAATTGAATTGAAATTTTTGAACACCATTATAATTAAAACAAGAAAAAACGAAACATGAGAAAAAAACGAAAACTTTGACACCCTGTAAATCGGAAACGAAGATCCCACGCATATATGTTTGTATGAGATTTTCATCTCAAAAAAATGTCTTCTTCAAGCTGTTAAAGTCCTGCTACAAAAAACTGAAACACCCTGTATAATGCAAGATCAGTTTTTATTTCCCACTGAGGAGTCATCCTCCAATTGGAGTTTTCTTTGTTCATATGTTATTCGATTTTCAGGCTTTTCTCAGACAGACTGTTAGCCAAACACAAGACATCCATGAAAGAACTGATCAGAAGAGACAAAAATCGACCAGGAGTTATAATGTGGAGTGCAGCTAATGAACCGAGAACTCAATATATCCAAGCCAAAGAATACTTCAGGTGAGAAATAACAATGATATGGGAGAATGGATCATAATGAGACATTTTTCGTTTCTTGGATACAAAAGAGTTATTGATTTCATTTATTTTTTCATTTATTTATTGAACAAATAACTTCCAGACAGAATAGGCTCCGGTATAAGGAAGAACATAACTATATACCTATAGGTGAACATATCATTATTCAAAATATTTCAACAACTGTAAATTGACAAACAAAGAATAATATTTGTAAAAAAAATGGCATGATTAATTTCATCCAGTTCGCTCAGAAATAATCAGTTTTTTCACTTCACTTTTGAATGTACCTATATTTCTGCAATTTTTTATATTGTCAGGTAGTTTATTGAATTCAGTCAAGGCTGAATGAGTAAATCTTTTTTGTCCGATTATGGAGCTAGCGGCGTCAAGATGAAACATGTTATATATTGTCTAGTTTTATGATTATGAATTTCAGAATTCCGTATCAAAATAAAATTCGACTTCAATTTTTTATTTATGATATTATATGATATTTTGAGAGTTTCAATACTTTATATTTCATCTAAAGAATACGTATTTGTTATTTCAAACAATTGATTGGTTGGTGTATCAAATGGGAGACGATACAATACTTTTAACGATTTTCTATATAATGTTGATATTTTATTGAAATTATTTTTTGAACAAGATCCCCAAACATGTATTAAATAGTCGATACGACTCAGCATATGAGAGAAGAGAATCATGTTTGCAATTTCAATATCAAGTTTGGGACATCTTCTCAATGCACCAATAATTGGAGATATTTTTTTTGTCAGAACATTAATATGTTTGTCCCACTTCAACCTGTCATCAAACCAATCACCAAGATATTTTATCTGGTCAGTTTGTTTTAAGAGTTCATTTTTTATTTTAAAAGCGATAAAAAAATATATAAATTCTGTTTTGTTATTATATATCGATAAAAGGTTAGAGAAGAGCCATTTTTCAAATATTTTCAAGTCTTCATTCACCATATTTTCTAAATTCGAAGGATTCTTGCCTTCATATAAAAGTTCTGTATCATTTGCATACATGGTATATATTTACTCGTGAGACCAATTTCACTGATATTTTGAACATAAAGTAAATACAGAATAGGTCCTAAAACAGAGCCCTGTTTATATGCATTTTTTTTTCAAAAAATAAGACAACGAACCACCTCCTAAAATTCTTCGCACATATTCATACACACTCTCTGTCATATGTGTATTCATTAGAGGAGGTATACAGAGTTAATCTGAAAGTGAGGATTTTTATTCAACAGGGTATCTAAATAATACTCAGAAAATTCAAGAGGTGATTCCTTGTAATATTCTAACAAATAATGTTCATATAAACATGTGTCCTAACTTGCTGCGTTTTTGAGATACAGGATGTTGAAGTTTGAAGTATCAATTGTTTTTATTTTTGACCCCCCTCTATAAGCTTTCATAGTGCCCAAATCCAGTATGGTTAGAATCTAAGGAAACCCTAAAATTTCAAAATGATTGTATTTGGGGTTATTGAGTAATCTCAATGGAAGTCTTGAAAACACCTACATTAAAATTTGGATCAAATGGAATTTTTATACTTAGTTTCCTCAAAAACTGAGCTTGATACTCAAATCATACAGAGGATAAAAAAGTTGTTATTTCAATAGTTCAATCAAATAAAAGTATGAAACTCAGAAAAAACCGTGGCGTACAATGACATTCACCATAAATATCGATAAATTTACCCACTGGGACGCCACTGGGAATATTATTCCCAATCTGATTGTACCAGAAGAAGCTCCATATCACTATTTTACAAAACCACAAAGTTTTATTAAAATCGATAGAGAGACAATTGAGTAATGAATAAAAAATGATTTTTCATGGAAATATTAATACCCTAGCTGTATCTCGAAAACGAAGCAAGTTAGGACACATGTTCATATGAACCGAGATATGAACTTTATTTCCTAATATATCACCTGGAATCATCCCTGGAAATTTTGCGGTGTTATTTAGATACACCCTGTATATCTCGCCAAATTAAGTTGTTTGGTCTAATGCTTCATTTCCCTCCTAAAGTTTTTTGATTCACTTTAAAACGATAATTAATAGATAAATAAATACAAGAAGCTCAAAGTCATTTTCACACAATGTTCATAAAATGAACAACAATGGTAGATTTCGGGAGAAAAACAACTACTTTCCTGGCTAATGCCACGCATAACATTGAATCACATCCTCCTGATATCTATACATCGACTCGTATAAACGAATACTGATACAAGTGATTCTTTCCCGAATGCCTATTGTTTTCGATTTAGCCAGGCCACGCTAGTCACCTACAGACCGGTTTTGAGCTCTTTGACTGTCATCAGTGCAGGGCACTGTCCAGCCAGCAGTCCTAAGACCGCCGACTAAGCGTAGCCTAGCCAAACAAAAATCAAGTCGGCATTATATATTTCCTCAGAGGCGTCCTCCATAAACAGCGGCGGTCTTAGGACTTCTGGCTGGAGACTGCCCTGCACTGACTGAACATTTGAAATCCTATTTCTTTCACTTTACCCACTACCAGTACTGGCAGTACTACCACAGTTTACCCGTGTATATCCACTTCATTCATTTTTAATTTGGATGTTCCCATTATATCCTCCATTTTACACATTCATCAATAATTGTAAACAAATATTCAAGTTTAACTTCAACCACCTTCAACTATGGAGTTGGTAAACCCTAGGGCAGGTAGGGGAGGTGTGTACCCAAACGGAAATTACGTCACGGTTAAACACAATGAAATCGCAAGAAAATCCAAGGAGTTCCAAGGAATCTCAAGGAAATCCAAGGAATTCTAAGGAATTTCAAGGAAATCCAAGGAATTCCAAGGAAATCCAAGAAAATCCAAGGCATTCCAAGGAATTCCAGTTGTTTGTACACCAGAATTATACCGCACTGCACCCAAAGAATTCTAAGGAAGTTCATAAATCCATCAGTCTGAATTACAATTGACACATCCTCAATTACAATTGATGATATCTGAATTTCAATTGATGCTTTCATCTGACTAATCTGAATTGCAATTGAAGTTTATTGAATTTCATTCGTCTAATTCGAACTACAATTGATATTTGCTGAATTTCATATTACTTATCTGAATTACAAATAACTCAGTCTGAATAACAATTGTTGCATTCTGAATTACAAATGATGATATCCGAATTTCAATTGACGCTTTCTAAATTCCAATCGGAAAATCTGATTTACAACTGAAGTTTTCTGAATTTCACTTGACTAATCTGAATTGCAATCGATAGTTTCTGAATTTCAATCAGCTAATCTGAATTACAATTGTGTCAATTCTGAATTCCATTTGAGAAATCTGAATTACAATTTACGCTTTCTGAATTACAATTGAAAAAGGTGTAGATCTGATAGAACTATGGACGTATCATCAGCATAAATGAGAACTCTTCCTTGGTATATACATTTCGGCAGATCATTGACGTAAAGTAAAAAAATCAATGTTCGGAATAATTGATAATGGAAACAATTTCAGGCAAGTGATCGAAACCATCAAGCAACATGATCAAACAAGGCCGTGTACGATCGTTGAAGCACAAAATGTCAACGTCGTTGAATCCGTAAGTATTTCGAATTATCATATCCTAGTCCAAATATCTGTAATAGATATTTACGTTACTAGTCTGGTAAGTACACTTTTACAGTACGAGTGAGATGTTTATTTCGAAACGAGTACTGTAAAAGTACTGTAAAAGTTTACCGGACGTGTGACGTATAACATTTTATTTCATACTGCTAAAAAACAAAAATGAACAGTGAAAAATAAAATATTAATCTATTTATCTGCGTCCAGTAATTTCAGAATTTTGCATTCACTCCCAAAAGATAGCTGGCAGGTAGTTTCCTTAGAAACATAATTTTTGTTTTGAATAATACTGTCAGTGATTGTCATTACGCGTTTTTCACGAAATGGCTCAGGACACAGCTCAAGATCAATTATTCATTCCTGAGGATATTTTGCGCGGCGGAAAAATATATCGAGGATTCGATCGAGGGGAAAAACAGGGTATCTCGCATGATTCAACATGGAGAAAACTTTGTTGAAGTGCTACAACAAAAAAATGGGAATGTATCAGCAAGTAGCAACTCCCTAATAAATAATTCATCCAATGGAGCTCCTGGTATCCATATTCATGGGATCGAAAATTTAACGATTGATATTAATTTTAGCAATCCGGTAAAATTTCATTACGGGACAGTAGCACTTAATGAAATATTACGTGCGCCGATCCTGTAAAAGTCTATTTTCCGGATTGAAATCAGGTACGTAAAGGTATGTTCTATGATGCAGTATGAAATAAAAATTATTGATGTATCAAGGGTGTAAAGTAGGGGTTCATGACCTGCGGAGTGAATAATAGCCCTCGGCTAACGCCTTCGCGAGTTTTCACGCATGCTAATTTGTATTACAAGTTATGTTATAAGAACTGAAATCTCGGCCTAGGAAAAGGTTATTATGTAATTGTACTAATTTGTGATATTTTTATATATGAACAAACTGCCAAAAGCCGAAGTACAAACAAATCTCAAATGTGTTTGGTAACACTGCCATCATCAGGAGAGTTTTCTGAAAACGATTTTATATACAAGGTGGTCCATAGGAAAATAAAAATGAAGTAGACTTTCCTGTAAGAACTTTCTAGAAAAATATTTCCTTACAAAGATACAGGGTAACAAAGTTCTAGAGAAAAACTGGTTTTCTCATCATAACTTCTGAACCCCTTTTTTGGAATTTCGAAACAAAATCATAACTTTTTCAATAAACGTGGATGGGAGCCTGTGGGGTTAATTCTGGCCCTACAAAATATTGTGAGATGTACACATTATCAAGTACCACCAGAGAAACACATTCATAGAAAATAACTCCCATTCACGTGTATTTTGAAAAAGTTATGATTTTTTCATCGAAATTCTGAAAATGGGGGCTGTGAAGTTAATTCTTTTCCTACAATTTATTGGGAGATATACAGATTATTATAGACCCTCAGAGGAATTCATTGATGGAAAATAGTTTCATCCATGGACATATTCTGGAGGTTTCAGTAATTTCATGGCCAGCCATGAATATAAATTAATACTGAACGACCATTGGTGGTATGGAGCGCGCCTTGAATATTAGGCGAAGTCGTGGCTGGAACTCGTGCCTGGTTTCACACTGATGAAATCTTGTACTTTTTCTAGTCTAGTTCTTTTCCCCAGTACTCTGTATCAATGAAATTGGTTTTACGAGTAAATTATAGAGTTTTGCGTTTATTTTCATTCAGTAGAAGATCATTTAACTTGCACAACGAGATGAGTCTGTCAAAGTCTTGTTGTAGTGAAATTTTGTCATTTTCGTCATTGATTATTTTATATAGCTTCAAATCATCAGCAAACAATAAGAACCCAGATGTTTTTATAAAATCTCCAATGTCATTCACAAAAAGAATGAAAAGTAATGGACCCAAAATAGATCCCTGTGGTACTCCTGATAATGCTATGAAGTTATCCAATCGATATTTATCGAATTGAACAAATTGAGTACTGTTATACAGGTATGATTCCAAAAATTATATTAAATTTGAATTGATTGAGAACTTCTTTAGTTTATTGACTAATGCCTTGTGCGTTGACTTTATCGAATGCCTTACCTAAATCTGTATATTTGACAGAAAAGGTGTAGATACAAAAATATTTTTTTTCCACAAACGTCAAAAGATTACGCATTGCTAACAAATACATATTTTTGTATGTTATCCTTCATGGTACTCAACAACGCAAAAAACCAAGAAATCATTCATATTCAGCAGAGCATATAACTTATCTCAGAATAACATTTTTTTGACGATTGTAGAAGGAATTTCGTTTGCAACTTGGTGATCTCGACAATATTTTAATAATTAGGCTATATGCCTTCTTGAAAAAAACCAGTTCTTGATCATCAAAGTAGCATTTCACGCACTTTCTAGATACCATTATAACTATAATATGTATACCGGGTGTCCCAACAGTGCGTATTTGCTCGATATCTCGATAATGCTGTAATATATAAAAATAAGTTTCATATAAAAGTTTTATGGTACCACAAAAGCCACATTTTAAAAATAGTCCCTGATTCACAGGGTGTTGCATTTTTCCGTAATAACAAAAAATATGTATTTTTCAAATAGAACAACCCGTTCATTTTTATTTAATTGAAATGGTCCCTTCGTTGCCTACTCAGCACTTGATTTGTTTTTCGCCACAATGCACCGTTGCCAAGTTATTAATTTTTTCGAAAAAATAGGGAGTGAATGAAATAACTGTGATTGAGCTGTTTCTCCGAAGATCTGAATTCTGTCTGGTGGATTGACGTAAAGAATACCAAAGTAGCGTGTAATACTCTGAGCTTCATCGATATTCATACAGGGTGCTTCAACTATTCCTTTTATTCTCGTCCACTACGATTCAAGTTTATGCGATTTTTTCAAATGGGACACCCTGTATATCAGTTCGTCTTCTCTTTCTGCATGAAATAACCTATCTGAGGATATCAACATATGTTATATGTTATTCCTAACAGTTTCTTGATTATTTGTGTTTTCAAAATTATTCTTAGGAAATTGCAAGAAATACCTGCATAATATTTCAATTCCAAAACAAAAGGAACGACAATAATTACACTTATAATACATGTTCAAAATGTCTTCCAACCTGTTCAATACATTTTCTCAATCTCTTCATGAAGTGCGTGAAGCAGCGTGAGAACAAACGCTGCTCAAATGAAAAGGCATAATTCGTTGAAATGTCTCACGAATTCTCATTTTCATGTCGTCCCGTGTAGTAGCAGCAGTACGATGAACCTCCGATTTTACTATTCCCCAAAGATAAAAATCCATTGATGTTAGGTCCGGCGACCTAGGCGGCCAAGGAATAGGTCCTCCTCGTCCTTTCCACTCATCAGGAAACATAATATTCAACTCCTCTCGAACTTCTCTCAGAAAATGTGCTGGTGCCCAATATAGCTGAAACAACATTTCATTTTTGATATGATTAGGTAGATGTTCAATCAACCTCTGGGAAAGTCTTCTCTGAGGAATCGCAGAAACTCTTCTCCATCCAGTCTTTGTTCGAAAAAATATGGTCCGATAACATAATTATACACAATACCGCCCCATACATTGAGGCAGGATGATGTAACAGTGCACTCTATAATACCTATATTCAATAACTATCGGTTGTTCACACAGTAGGTATTCTCAGTAGGTCACATCGGTATACAGTGTTTGACGTGATTTTTCATCACAGTCATATTATTCTTATCACGTGTTAGAAATCTGATTCAAAAACGTGAGCTAACTAGATCGAATAAATTTGCCTTTTAGATTGTTGTAGTTGTTTCTGTTTCATATATGAATAATTATTATTCCGCAGATAAGCAGAATGATTTGAAGTTATTTAGCATGAGTTTTAACAACGAAGAATTTTCAGACATTATTGCAATATGCTATGGGTATACATCAGAGAAAAATGAATGCAAAAAATATTCATGAATGCAAAAAATATAAATCTAAAATAAATATACAGGGTGGTCCGATTTGTAATAAAAAAATTCAACAGTGGTACCACTGTTGAATTGAAATAATAAAAAAAGTACAATCATTATGAGAAATCTAAGCTAATAAAAAATAATAACTGAACGAACCCAATAAAACTTTAATTTGCTTTCACCACCCCCAGATTTAGCTGCCACTGAATAACTTTATGATACAATATTTATTTTATCTTATAGAGCGTAAAAAGTTTAATATCTGTGAGGAATTTTGTTGATTTATCTCAAACCGTTTCGACTTTTTCATCAAAAAACAATATTCAGACTCATATTTTCAACACCCTATATCTCTAGAACGACGCTTAAGTATATGTTTACATGAACTTTTTTCATTATTTCAACGAGTATACAACATACTGTTGAATTTTTTGTATAACAAACCAGGCCACCCTGTTATATTGCCATACAGGTATGGTTTCTCCTATGGAAAGCTGAATTCAAAAATACATCACACATAGGGTTAGTATACAGTGCGTCCAATAAATTCAATGCTCTCGTATAATAGAGTTACCATTAAAAATACCAATGGGGTAATTTCTCCTATGTATATTTAATGTTCCCTTATAAATATGGTAACCTGAGAAGAAAAATCGACCTGTTGCAGAAGATTCCTCAGAAATGAATAGTTTGGATAAAAGAGTATATTATACAAATACAAAATCTTTATTTCCATCGACTGAAATACATCAGTATTGGCATTTTTAACGTCAGAAAAAATGTTCAACAAGCATATAATAAGGGATTCATCATATCAACCTGAGTGAATAATAGTGAATAATAGCTCATTATATGCGAGTAGAATACTATGCTTTATCTACGACTGTTGTATAAAATATTCATGATACAATCGAGATGTGTCCCGGCGTGTTCGCCAAAACTTTGAATCCAACAATATTAAATAATAAAAATTCCGAGCCCGAGAGTTGGTATCATTCATCTTATAGGGCTCCTGCTCCTATAAATAATTTCATCCACAATATATAAATTTATTATTATCAACTGTTTTATCATACCTTATTTAACATTAAGAAATCTAAAAATTGAAGATACCTGTTGTTATATCGCGTACCCTAGTGAATAATGGTTATTCACCGCTATTATTCACTGGTGTGAAAATGGCTATCGTTTTGCTTGAGGAAGTACATGTTTTATGAATATTTCATACAACAGTCTTAGATAAATGAATTTATTCAGTACCTACTCTTCACAAAACCACAAATTATCGCATATGAAGTGTGATTTTTTCGAAAAAAAATCTCGTGGGCTCATTTGTTCCACAAGATCTTGCAAAAGTTTTTGAAAAACACATCAAGTAATCACAAATGTGTCCACGAGAAAAATCTCAATATTCTTCTTGTAATATGGATGTTTGGAAAATATTAATTTTTGTAAAGGGTCTGGTAAGGGATCAACCTGTATATGTCGCACGTCGAACTCCCAGACAAAGTGTTTCAGAATCAGACACATTAAAATTTCAACTTTTCCAAGCTGTAAAAAATTTCCAAAATATTACCTCGAACTACTCAAAAGATACGGTCCTCGTTTCTACTCCGTTAATTTTTTTTTAGTCAAGTTACGTCGATATCATCTCTTTCAACCGTTACAACGGTTGGTACCAATACGAAGGAGAATTGGATGTTGTCAGCTACAATGTCATTCAAGAGGCCAGACTCTGGCACCAAAAATTCAACAAACCCGTTATAATGCAAGAGTACGGTGGGGACACCCTGGAAGGATTGCACTTCGTAAGTTTCACTATGCACCTAGGGTCCCTTGATGTAAATTGACGTATTTGTCATCTCAACAGGGTACGGAGAGATCCTCGTCTCCTCTCACTCTAAAGTGTTTGTGAAACAGTTATATAGTTCCATCTTCATTCATTTCTGGAAATAAACACTAGATTTCTGAAATTTGTTGTTTTTTAGGTTATATTGAGGACATTGGCGTATCATACGTAATTTCCACATGTAATTTCTCATTCAACTCTACATATTGTATCCAAATGATGAAGATAATTTTCGAGTTTTTGATTTTTCAACTCCAGCATAATCTGTGTGAGGCAGTGAGCAAAGTTTTCTGAAAGTTCAATACGTTTTATCAAATGGGACTCTTAGGCAGCAGCACCTATCAATAAATGAATTTTGATTTCTGACTAAGCCTCATGGTTGAGAAATGGTGAAAAATTTTATGTAGGTATTCGAAATAATGTGCTCATATGTCATGTGTGCTGTATATATTCATGTTGGGAATCATTTTTGCAGTTTTTCACGAACACTTAATATTTCCTGAATGTAGGTAGGTATAATTTTTTGAATGGTATGGCATATGCCTCTTCTTTTGATCCTCCGTTTTGATAAAAACTGTTTCTACGAAAATGCATTCAAAAACTTGTGGACTGGATAATTATAGGCACAATGAGGCAGTATAACATGTGATTTAGTATTAGTTTCACTTCGAATATTTTGCTGATGTATTTACCAATTTTTCCCTTTCGGTCAGTTCACTTTCCATGTGGTAAGTTCATTTGCATTTGATGGAAAACTGACAAATTCAAATTTGCCATCCACCTGATTGATACAGCTTAACGCAGAACGCAGCACATTTTACCATCCTTTCAAAACAGAATTGAATAATGTCGAATGTGACGTGACAGCAATGTCATGTCAGGGACGCCAATACACGAAAACAAAGTCACTAGATGATTAAAAGAGAAAGGAGCTATGATCTGTCCGTACCCTGTTAGATGACAAATACGTCAGTTTGCATCAAGGGACCCTGAATATACCTAGTTCAGTCATTGGGGATTAAAAATAAGGCTTACCTAGAAATAAGTCCGGATGTTTGGAAACTTCGCAGATTTGTAGGTTTGGATATCCAGAACTTAAATTCTCAAAATGCACTTTCCGAGACATGCCGCCGGCGCCGCCATCTTGTCAAGATGGCACCCAAAAATAGATTTTTTTCATTTATCTCCAAAACTGTGCGTTTTCCGGAAAAATATGTTGAGAGAAAAAATTGAGAGGAAGATATTTCCTACAAGAAATGTTCCTAGCATATGTTTGCTTAAGTGAGCCGTTTAAGCTCAAGAGCTGATTGAATGACAACAAATTCTGTTAATTTCTATAAACTGCCCCTATCTTCCATATTTATGCTTATAAATTCATCTCTCATGATAAAACGGGCTATTTAATTGGTTTCTCGTTATATTTATAGCTTGCTGACTGGAGGAAATGTCCTATAAAGGCACAATTGCTCTCGCCAAATTGAAAACGTGGTTTTTCCTGTAGGTAGGCCTAATCCACTTAGGTACTAAAATCATTTTTGGCAGAAGCCAGACGGACCTGGCTCGTTGATTTCCATATCTTCAACAGGGAAATGGTTACCTCAGCTTCAGAATCAATGTCAATTTCCTTCAACTCGTCGGGTTCTCCTTCTGCAGTCGATACAGAATTATCAAGCAACGAATAGAGATATTCTTCATCGAATTCGTCCAGTGTCATTTGACTGATATTTTCACAAGTTTTCCCTTTGCATTCACCGCAAAACATTTAACATCTCAATCCAGCTCTCTTGCATCCGCAGGCTTTACCACAAGCCGCCTTGCACTTACAAGATAAAAAAAAAACAAAGTAGTGCTTTGGAAGCAGGAACTTTTGAAGTAGTTACTGGAGTGAGGCAAGTTTGTGTTTCCTTCCAACCCCATCATATTCAACTACTTTCGGACGGCCACACCTTTTAGTTGAACCTGATAATATTACCTCAATGAATGCTGTCGTGCAGCTGCGCTTGTTGGTGGTAAGGATGCCAAATTGAATTTACTTTTTGTTACCGACTTCACAAAACATTGGTATCGATATTTATCAAGATTGATATCCATTGGGTCTTTGGATCCATAGAGTGCTAACTGGCCTCACTCAAGTAACTACTTTGAACGATCCTACTTCCAAAGTACTACTTGCTTTTTTATCTTGTCCAAGGCGGCGTCGAGCCATCAGATGCAAGAAAGCAGGACTGATATGTTCACTAATTTGTGGTGTCTGCAATGGAAAAACTTGTAAAATATCAGCCATCGACTGCAGAAGGATAATCCATTTTCACCGCTGAAGATATAGAAATCAACGAGCCAGGTCCGTCTGGCCTCTGGCAATAGTAATTTTGGTACAGGTAGAATTAAGCTTACAGGGGAAACCACGAAAAAAATGCGCCGTGTACTTCACTTACCTCTTGGGTGGTGTGGAAACAAGTTCAGCAAGTTTCTTCGAATACGAATTCCATCAGAAGAGAGGTTATGTATGTACCAGCTCAAGACAATCAGAGGTCAGCATTCAGTTTGAGGCCTTGCCCACTTTTGAATGTTTGATGTTTCCGTGACATTTTCGTGACGATCCAGTGAACGTTTCCGTGACATTTCCCTGACGTTTTCGTGACTATTCCGTTGGGGTGGCAGGCTGAATGGCATGGGGGCTGGGTAAATATCACGGAAACCCCACGGAATCATCAGTTAGCCCCACCACCCCGTCATATACCCCGCCAACCCGCCATTCACCCTACCACCCCAACGAAATCGTCACGAAAATGTCACGGAAATATCATGGAAACGTTACAGAATCGTTACGGAAACTTCACGGAAACGTCAAGGAAATATCACTGAAACGTCAAGGAATCGTCACGGAAAAGTCACGGAATCGTCACGAAAATGTTACGGAAACGTCAAGCATTCAAAAGTGGGCAAGGCCTCAAACTGAATGCTGGCCTCTGATTGGCTAGAGCTGGTACATTCATAGCCCCTCTACTGATGGAATTTGTATTTAAAGAAACCTGATGGGGAGTTTATGAATTTATGTGATCGATACCTTTTGTGAAACGATTATCAGGTGGTCTAGTGCAACTGATGAGTCTGGGTAAGCTGAAACAGATTCGATTCACGAGATATCAATTGGATTTATCTCGAAAGTTTCAGATTTGAATTTTTATCATGAACGGTTCAAGAAGTTTCTCTAGAATCCTCTAGAATCACCTTGACTAGAGATTCTATAGGTTCGTATCATCTATATTCTTTGATTTCTCATAGCGAAACACTTCAATAACCTAGACAAATTCAGATAGCACACGAGTCTGCCATATTTTTTCGAAAAAGATTTTTTTGCTGGACTTCTTCTTGACTTTGAACTAGCACTGTTTTTACACATAAGATCGATTTTTATCCTTCTTTCTTATCGCTATCAGAATATTTGCAGTCTTGAACAAGTTCTTTTTCAGGTACCATCTTTCATTTGGTCAGAAGAATACCAAGTGAGTTTGCTGTCGGAACATTTCAAGGCTTTTGATCAACTCAGAAAAGAAGACTTCTTCATCGGAGAGTTCATTTGGAACTTTGCTGACTTCAAGACTGCTCAGAGTAAGTCAAAAACGAAACATCGGTCTATAAAAATGTATACAGGATGTCCGGTGAACCATAGTAGGTACTTCGGAATAACGAAATACCATTTTTCACTGAAACAGAACCATCCCTATAAGAAATCATATACAAATTAAGAATATTCGATAACTGATTGGTCCATTTGTATAATTGAACCCCTGAATTCATTTTATGGCAGAGTTTCGAGTGAAGTTTTATATTCGCCTATTAACCTTAGAATTTTCTTTCAGCTTATACCAGGGTCGGAGGAAACAAAAAAGGCATTTTCACGAGAAATCGCCAACCCAAGGCGAGTGCACATCTCATACGCAGACGCTATTGGTCCCTAGCTAGGGAATACTCTAACATGACCCTACCCGGTGACCTCGACAGTTACGTCATATCTAGTCGAATTTCGCACGAAGAACTATAGAAATAAGAATTAAAATACATCTATATCATTAGGAAAATTCGAGTTTTTTTCAATTTTTTGAATTTTCTCAATCCCACTCCGTATACAGATGTAGAAAAAAAATATACAATATACTTGATGGGTGATCAACTATTCAACTGGTACCACTGTTCCCCCTTTTGCAGGCTGGTTGCCTCGATCACAATTACGTGCAGTGTTGCCACCTCTACGATTTTGTCTCTGAAATCTAGCGTTTTCACATCGTTTAAGCATGATTTCCAAAACAAAACAATAAAATAAAGAGTTAAGACGCAACTGCGTTAATTCTTTCATTCTTATAGGTATGTATGATGATTGCATAAAATAATAATCATCACTGGACTGAATAAAAACTATTTCTTATATCTCTATATTCTATAATTACTATTCAATATTTTCCATATATTCCAACACCAATTTGAGGGCTTCAAAATGGAAACGACTTATCTGCTTTCTTCATCCCCGTAACTTCTCCCCCCTACCAGGGGGAGACAACCTCCGGATTTTGAATAGGGATAAGGGGTGTTGCGATACCTCATTTTGAAGATTTTATCGAGTACTATCCGACCCTCTAATTTCGCGTCAAAATTTTCATCTATAACGAAATGAGAGATAAACTAGTGGAAGAGTCAATGTCAGATTTACCTCAAAATATTATTCTTATCAGAGTAGGATTATCTTGCAGAAAAATCTTTTTTTATGAATAATATGGACAAAAACACTCGTAGGAAAAATTGTGTACCTAACTCTTGCGGAAAATGTCTTCTCCGCCCTTGACGACTTGCCCGAACTCCGCTCCGTGTCTTTCGTGCAACTGCCGTCGCGTACGGAAAAGTACTACTTTCCGCACTTGTAAGGTAACTAACTAACTATTACGTAACCGCGAAGTCGAATGGAAGGTGGAAGGACTTGCAGTTCTTCCTCGGAGACGGTGTTATTGGCTTAGTTTTCGGAAATATAGCACAACCAAAGCCATCATATACTTCGGAAGGTAATTCTACATATGGAGTTGAGAAAACATGTTTTCATCAACATGTGTCCAAAAGTGCTTCCTAAGGGCGCTGTAATGATATTCCCCTTAGAGGGGCTTTAGAAACATCAGCAGGAATACAACGATCATCCTGTATCACGCATCCCAGATTGCTCTCCAACCTCTCAATGATTCCTACCTACACCAGCATATTTCCGAACACTCAATTTATGCCGCAGTGACAAATAATGTCACAGAAGATTCTGGAATATTCTGGAAACAATCGATGAATCAATTAGAGAGAGAGGTTTTGTTCTAAGAAGCTTCTAGAACAAAAAGAAGGAGACGGAAGATCATTCGAGAACTTTCTCGAACCAAAAGCCTGCCATGTGTTCTCATATATAAGACGGCCGAACAACTGAGTCAGGCAGTCAAACAGCGAGTGTCAGAGAGACAGTTATATACCGCGTGTTATAAATCGTTTTACATAAATAGTAAATTTCGCTCATGACATTGATCCAAAACTACTCGCCTGTTATAAGTTCGATATAAATTAGTGTTTCTTTAGTACAAATAAATCAGTTCGAAAATAAATAGTGTCGTGTTCGCTTTCTGCACCCGAATAACGTAACGTCCCAGCAAACATCTTGATATGGGGCATCAATGGCCTAGTATATTTTTCCCATACCTGACATCAGCGGCCCAGGAAATGGTCCCATATGCGGGACTCTATATATCAGTACACTGCGGCCGGCAGCTGGTCCCAGTGCTGGGTACCCATCAGCAATCATATTCAGTTCCCCGGTAAAAGGCCAGTACAACATAACCGACACATTGAGTTCCCCATAGCAAGCCCAGCATATACATAAATGATGGGACTGTAATGGCCAATTAACGACATTGGTTACTATCGAGGTAGGGGAGGGGTAGGGGTTTTAGGGGTCCAATGGATCTGAAAGTTCTAGTACCTCTTTATTTCACAACATAACTGTCTCATCATAAATCAGACACATACCAGATTTCAAGAAAACAATTTTATGAATGACACAATGATATCTTCTTAACCTCTCTGTTCTTCAACGATGAAACTTCTCGGAGTGACTGCTTACTGGTTGGTGTGTGGTATCTACATCTTATTGGGTAGCATTCCTTCGAAGTTGATTCTTCGTTGTGAGGTACTTCTGAAATATAAAATGCATCATTTGTTTAATATTAGTGGCCTATGAGTTGCATGAGTTTATAACTTCATAATATAGTCAAATGACGTGATAGCATGGAGCTTTTCAATTCTCATTATGGTGTTGGCACAGGTAACTCTGTAGCTGAAATCTTATTGTTATTCAGTTATTCAATATAGAGATAGGTTCACATAACCTGAGATTGCTTTTGATAGCAACAAACGAGTTAAAAATGATGGTTGCATTTAGAGTTAGCTCTAATTATCATAATCATTAGGTATATGAGGTTACGAGATACCAAACACATGCATCAAATAATGACATTCAAAACACTATGTAGGTACATTGATACTCACTCAATATTAACATATAATCTGTCTTCTATTATTATCAATTGAGAATACTCCTGCCATCATAAATAACCACCACGGAAAGAGAGGACCACATTAATTTGACATAAACAAACTAGTACGCGATCACCACTCACGAGAGTCAGCCATCTTAGTCACATATGATATTCATCAGCTGATTGTTGATGTAGACGTTCCCAGAACTTCCACCAGGGGGACGGGTAGTGAATATGAAATTGGCCAGCAAAGGGCCAGATCTCGTTAGTATTCAATTAGTTCCAGACATCTTACCATCACAAGGCCATCATCGTATTTTTAACTGATGGTTACTTGGCATGGGAAAATCATCGGCCCATTACCTATACCCCGGCATCGTCACTTTCCCAGACTAACCTGCACTAGGCCGGACTTCTCCCGCTAGTTCAATGTTTGCTGGGGTACAGCCCTTTGAACATATAAGTCCTTAAATGTAGTGTTTTTCAATTATCTTTGTCATTATCAATATCAGAATCACGAATTTTGGTGCATAGGAATAATTTCATCTCACAAATTGTTTCGTGGTATGGAAAATATGATTTAATATACAGGGAGCTGCGAAACTCGATGCTATAAAATGGCCCCAACTGTTTCGTTTCATGATTCATGATATTTTTAGTAACATGATATGATTTTTCAAAAATGTTTACATATTAACTCCTGCTAAAATGCCGTAAAACGAACTGATTTCGAGAAAAATATAATTTTATTCTGATATTCGAAAAAATGTATGTAATGTACCTTTGTGGAATTTCGACAATTTTCATTGCCCAATACTGTCTGTAGGTTAATCGAGGAGGTGTAACATTCATTATTCCAGATTTTTTGGAAATTTCTTTCCTCGTCTCTTCAAAATAAAAATTTGAATATTATATTTCAATATACGTGTAGTAATGACAAATCAGATGATTTGCCCCAAAATGTCACTACACGTATATTGAAATAATATTCACATTTTTAATTTATGGAGACGAGGAGAGAAAATCACAAAAAAATCTGGAATGATGAATTTCCATCGCGGTTATTTTCTCGAAAAATAAACATCTTGTTCAAATCTGATGAAACAAAAACCATCCGAAAATGCAAAATTCCAAGTATCAAGCTTCACTTTCTCTATCATAAGAACAAACGCTCAAAATCATTGTAATTTTTTTCGGATATCAAAATATCAAGAAAATATTTTTTTTTCTGGAAAACGGTTCGTTTAACGGCCTTCTAACAGGAGCATCTTTTTCATGTAAGTGTTAAACACTTCAACTGCCACGCTAATATGGAGAAAAAAATTTGATTTGAATAAAGGTCACAAAACAAAATGTATTTTTTTCAATGCCGTGTCCGGTACACAAGGCTCACCATTTCGATATTTCAACTAATACCTATAGTCACTGGCCATATGTTTCAACAAAGAAGGTCTGAAAAAAATATATAATAACAGACGCTTTTATATATTTAGTTACTTTTCTTTAGAAAAACTCGCTACTTTTGCTTATGACTGTATTTTCATAAGAAAATCCGAAAAAATAAATGTTCATTTCAAGTTCATTGTATTATTCGTCATGTCTCTAGGAAACGAAAAAAATTCAGGCCAATTCAATATAGTGCAACGCCAGACTTATCGATATTCCCATATAATCTCCAGGAGTTCAAAAAAAAATTCCAATACCTACCTCCTATATCCCTATCCCCCCTACATACGTTTCAAAATCATTACAAAAATTCTCTGCTTGAAATGTCTCACGTGAATCTCTAGACGTGTCACCTGAAACATCGCCATGTTTACGTTGGTATGTGAAATATTTCTCTGATGTTATGCGTAATGTGAAACACCTTTGGAATATTTCAATACTGGGGTGTTTACTAGTTGTTTAGAATTCATCATATTCGAAACGTTTCCATTGTAGGTACTCTAGTACGGGTCAACTATAATATCTCTACATTAACATCTAGAAAACATTTCAGAAATGATATGAAACTGTCGAGTGTGAAACGTTAACCTCATATTTTGAAACTTCGTATGCTGACGCGTTGCCATGTCCATGATTCCGTTTTATTGGCTATAATGAATCACATGCTCGAGTGTGACCAATGATGAAGACGGGTGGTTACTCTGGCAACATCGGCATGTGAGAGTCCGAACCGAGCACGGCCTTTCCTGTGAAGAAGTGAAGGTGAAGAGGTGAAGCCATTTTTAGCGTCCCTTGGTATTGCCTGGAGTTGCTAATGTTAAAACTTCATAATGACAACTATGAATATACAAGGTGAGTAGGTTCACCTGTACATGTAATATTCGATGCTTGATTTAATGGGATGAAAATTAGCCCAAAATGGAATACATGTAAGTTAGGGCGGTAGTGGCAAAAATAACCTCAACTTTTTTGTACATTGTTTTGTCGATTGCTTAATGTGAAATTGTGAAATTTAAGGTTATATTGCATAATGGAAGGTGATCGAAATTCAATAAAATGCATTGTTTCTGCAGAATT